GGCGTCTTCTTCCACCTCGAGGTCCGCTATGGCGGACTGCCTCCTCCGGCGGTCACTTCAGCTATGGCTCATCGGCCCTGCATACGACGCGCGCGTGGAACAGCGGGTACCTGCTCCGATACCAGTGCAATCAGACTCGGCTTATTCACACTTCGTCATGCATGCAAACAGGGATACAGCAAACTGGCGACATGCGCCCACACAGTACTCAAAGATATCGTGCCCAGATAAGAGTTCTCTTCCAACTGGCTATGGCGACTGCGCGCCCACACAACTCACTGTTYGCACTCTGGATCACCCTGGATGTCCCACACGCAACTCAGTCTCCATACGCAACACACACACACTATGCTACAGCTTTGGCAGCGCTAGCTGCCACTACCCTATCGCTACACTACACCTCTCTGCCCACTTCGTCTTCGGGCACACTGCAGACCTCCTCGCTCAAGCTGTTGAGGCAGCGCTTCCGCATGGCATCCGCAGGAATGAAATATGGCTGGACGCAGCCTCTTGATTTATACTTCTACGCTGCGCTGGTCTGCCCTGTGTCCCTTGGCCCTTGGTGCACACAGTCCCAGACGGTACTTGCTGGACAGGACCGGACTGCCTAACTGGGACTGTTTACTCAGCAGGGTGGCCTACCACCACTTGACCAGTTGCCTCTGTTCAACGTAGGCTCACTCCGAAAGGCCACTTCTAGAAACCTCCGACTTGGCCTTTCGGTGTTGTAGCAGCTACGACTTTGCCCCTTCAGGTAAGTAGCAGCTACGACCTTGACCTTTTAGACCACCTACAACTACGACTTCGGAACTGTCTAGACTCCTACCCTACAAGTCTACAGTTCGATTCCCTTCTAAGCTGCGACCTACGACAATCTACCTACCACTGGCGTTTCGACAGGTCGCAGGTTCAAGTCTACGGGTTGACATCAATACTGTACACAGGTACGATGGGGAACTAGGGATCGAGCCCTGGGATCTGCATTCGCTACCGCGAACTGGTGGATACCGTTTCATCTACACACATGGATGCAGAAATCATATCATTATTATAATAAATTATATAATTGATTGTGACAGAGACGATAGCGGCTATACTAGCAGAGTGTAACAGTGTTTATACTTGTGCAAAGGAGAAGGCCGAAGAGTGTTGGTACATTGTCCTGCTGCATCACGGGGCCAGAGGAATGATCTTCAGGATAATTATAGAGATTGTGGACGGTTTTGTGTGGCAAGAAACCATCGTAGATTATGCAAGAAATCAGTAAGTTAAACATCAGTCATGGCATGGACCATGATTCCGTTGTCCCACGGCTCCCAGTCGTCAGAAGCATGTACAATGCAACATTAATATCATTATATCAAGCTTCTTCTATGGCATGCCAAAAACGCAGCGAGCCTCCCTGTTGATCCTCGCTGCGGTTCGGCTTGGGCTTGGCCGGAGAGCCTCACCCATCCCACTGGCTGCAGCAACAGATGTGAGGGATGCTGGTCCCGGTTCCCAGCTTGTAAATAAACGCATCTTCTTTTGCAAAGAAAGAAAAAGAAAAAAAAGAAAAAAAAAAAAGGCAGCGAGCCGCTCCCTTGCCACCCATCCCTGGAGGTTGGTCCTCCCAACCTTTCCGTTGACTCCAAGTCGCTCGCTCCGCTCATTTATGCAGGACCCCATTTCACTTACCATGCAGATGGCGGTTGCCCAAAGTAGGTTTTAGATTTAGATGGCGGCTGCCCAAAGATAGGTTCATTATCCAATCGCAACAGCGGCTGAGTCCTGCACATAAGTAACGTCGATGATATGCTTAAAGCACCCTCGCGATATGCTAAACAGTCGGTCGCTCAGTCAGCGGAGCACTGTTTGCACCTTTGTAGGGAGCAGTCAAAAGAGAAGCCAAAAAGGTGGGATGTAGATCGCGGTTGCCCAAAGTAGGTTTTAGATTTAGATTGGAGCACGGGTTGAGTCCTGCACCTGAACGACATCGAAGATATGCTAGTGGAGGCACTCCCGGCATGAATAGCAAACTGTAACGGTAATCTCAGTGGCGGATGTATCCGGTGCACAGCCCAGTACTGCCGAAAGGTAAGACGCAGATGGCGGCTCCCCAAAAGCAGGTTTTAGATTTAGATGGCGGCTGCCCAAAGATAGGTTTTAGATGACGGCTGCCTAAAGATAGGTCTTAGATGGCGGCTGTGAAAAGGTAGGTTGTAGATGGCGGCTGCCCAAAGATAGGTTTTCGACGGCGGTTGCCCAAAGATAGGTTTTAGATGGCAGTTGCCCAAAGATACGACTTCGATGGCGATTGCCAAAAAGGTAGGATGCAGATGGCGGCTGCCCAAAGTAGGTTTTAGATGTAGATGGCGGCTGCCCAAAGATAGGTTTTTGGGTTCATTATCCAATCGCAACAGAGGCTGAGTCCTGCACATGAGTAACATCGATGATATATTGAAAGCACCCGCGCAATATGCTAAACAGTCGGTCGCTCAGTTAGCGGAGCACTGTTTGCACCTTCGTAGAGAGCAGTCAAAAAAGAAGCCAAAAAGGTTGGATGTAGATGGCGGCTGCCCAAAGTAGGTTTTAGATTTAGATTGCAGCATGGGTTGAGTCCTGCACCTGAACGACATCGACGATATGCTAGTGAAGGCACCCCCGGCAGGAATAGTAAACTGTAACGGTAATCTCAGTGGCGGATGTATCCGGTGCGCAACCAAGCACTTTCGAAAGGTAAAACGCAGATGGCGGCTCCCCAAAAGCAGGTTTTAGATTTAGATGGCGGCTGCCCAAAGATAGGTTTTAGATGGCGGCTGCCTAAAGATAGGTCTTAGATGGCGGTTGTGAAAAGGTAGGCTGTAGATGGGGGCTGCCCAAAGATAGGTTTTAGACGGCGGCTTCCCAAAGATAGGTTTTAGATGGCGGCTGCCCAAAGATACCTCTTAGATGGCGCTGCCAAAAAGGTAGGATGCAAATGGCGGTTGCCCAAAGTAAGTTTTAGATGTAGATGGCGACTGCCCAAAGATAGGTTTTAGGGTTCATTATCCAATCGCAACAGCGGCTGAGTCCTGCACATGAGTAAACCTCGATGATATGCTGAAAGCACCCTCGCGATGTGCTAAACAGTCGGTCGCTCAGTCAATGGAGCACTGTTTGCACCTTTGTAGAGAGCAGTCGAAAGAGGAGCCAAAAAGGTTAGATGTAGATGGCGGCTGCCCAAAGTAGGTTTAAGATTTAGATTGCAGCATGGGTTAAGTCCTGCACCTGAACGACATCGACGATATGCTAGTGGAGGCACCCCCGGCAGGAATAGCAAACTGTAACGGTAATCTTAGTGGCGGATGTATCCGGTGCACAGCCCAGCACTGCCGAAAGGTAAAACGCAGAATGCGGCTCCCCAAAAGCAGGTTTTAGA